GCATTCCTCCGGTATCCGGGAGTTGCATAATCTCATAGTCGAAGGAATATGTATTTGACATGAAGAAAGCAATAGCAATAAAACCGAACAATCATTATGCTAAGCTAACGGATGGGTCTTGTCCATCACATCATTCTCCTAATGATGTGATCCTGTTATCAAATGAAAACTCATGTCCATGGTTAGGAAACCTTAACCATCTTTGATCAACGAGCTAGTCTAGTAGAGGCTCACTAGGGACATGTTGTTTGTTTATGTATTCACACATGTATTAAGGTTTCTGATCAATATAATTCTAGGATGAATAATAAACCTTTATCATGAATAAGGAAATATAAAATAACAACTTTATTATTGCCTCTAGGGCATATTTCCTTCAAATATCGTGGTATGCATGGAAATAGGCTACTGTCTCCAGGTCAAGCACGGAGGCAGAATATAAAACATTAGTAAATGCTACAACAGAGATCATATGGGTTCAGTCTATGCTGAAGGAGCTTGGTGTGAAAAATGCACAAGCCCCATGCCTATGGTGTGACAACCTTGGTACCACTTATCTGTCTGCAAATCCAATCTTTCATGCCAGAACAAAGCATATAGAAATTGATTTTCATTTTGTCAGAGAAAGGGTTGCTCATAAGCAACTTGACATTCGTTTTGCGCACTCCGGGGATCAAATTGCAGATGGATTCACAAAGACCTTACATGTACGAAGCTTTGAGGACTTCAAACATAATCTCAACTTGACCAAGTTGTGATTAAGGGAGGGTGTCAAACATGTAACGCAACACATGCATCAAGAGATATTTACTTGGTTTTAGGAGATAGATAGGTGCACATTATATATTGTATTTGGTTGTAACTAGCTTCCTTATCTCATGTCTTTATTCCTCTTCAAGATGTATCTCCAACAACCTTGTACGCGTGATCAGGCTTCACAACCCTGCCAATATAACACGCAACATGTCCCCCACGATAAGGTGAGATGTTTCCGCCCATCGCACACGGTGAACACTTACCAATCTTGTGGGATTTTGTCAAGGGATTCCGACGATGGTTACCATCTAATGGGTTGCCGTCAAGGGCTTCAACCGATAGTTACCAATCTAACGAGTTGTCGTCAAGGGTTTCATTCTGATTTGATAGTGGCAGCGACAACAATGGTGTTAAGTTTGTTTTGGTTAGCGGATCTCGATTCATTCTTTAATGCTTGTGGTCTTCTTCTCTAACTCACAAATCTATCTTGCAAAAGGTATATCCCCAATCAAGTGTATTTAATAACCTAAGGTTTTCACCTATTTGCATGGGCAAGTGATACATCTCAGACGTATACATAATTTTTCATTGACGCATGCTATATTTATGTCATAATTGCATAGTTCCGACTTCACTTTTTTGTAATTTTTATGAACTAATCTATTAATGCAGTGTCCAGTGTCATATTATGTTTTCTGTCATTTTTTGTTCAAGAAAATCAATTTTTGAGACCCAAAAAATCATTTAAAAATGTATCATGAGGTTTGTAGTCAGGACGGAGGTTGGAACACCAGAGGCAGCAATAGACGCGCCCCACAGGGCCAACCCATGGGCCGCAAGGTGGGCGGCGTGGAGGCCCTAGGGAACCTCTCCACCACCTCCCGGCACCCACGCACTTATATTCTTCGAAACATTCAGTTTTAATTACCGAGAATTTTTTTCATTGTCGCCACCTCTATGTTCTGAGATGATTCAATCTAAGGCATGTTCCAGTACCCTGCCGGAGGGGAAATCCATCACCGAAGCCATCTTCATCATCCTTGGTACCATCATGCCTATGTGTGAGTAGTCCTCCTTCGACAATGGGTCGATAATAGTAGTTACTCCCCCCATTCCATAATTCTTGTCATGGTACGGAGGGAGAACTTAAACCACGACAAGAACCATGACAAGAATTATGGAACAGATGGATTAGATGACAATCTCTCTCTTATTTGTCAATACAATGATCACATGTCGTGGTACGGAGGGAGAACCTAAAAATAGGCATTGGTATGAGGACTTTTCTTACAACCATATATTTGCGAACGGGGTCATCATGATATTAATTTGGTCTTTGAAAAAAATTCATCCATCGAGATGTGCTTGCAACGTATCGAAGTGGGGGATGTGTCCAAATTATGTCTTGACTGGTGCGAGTCCTGCATCAAGAGTCAGTTATCCAACCGAAAGGCCCTATCTGTCGTGTGGGGTTGCCCCGGTAATTAAGATAGAATCAAACAAAATCATTGGGTGTTTAATGACTACACCTCTCGTATCCTCATAGATAGTATTCGTGATACCGTACTGAACCTTTTTGTCACTAGTGTCCAAAATAACACTTCACGGTCTTCCTGCCCTTAGTCTCTCCGTGGCTCGCTCTCCATGATCCTGGGTACCTGTATGGACGAAGAACGCAGACGAGACAAGAGACAACTACGAAGCAATTTTATGTTACACATACGGGATGCTAATACAAAGTACTTCCATTGATCCAACAATGGTGGGGCCTAAGCGACGTTCTCTTTCTGAAGCGTTGTTGTTGAAGAACCTTCCTCGCGGTCCTTGTGATATCAAGAGATGGTTGATGCAAATATGGTCGTTATCGTAGTATGGTGATCTTTGTTTTGATTGCTTTAGTTTTTCTTTTTTTTCCTTTATTTGTGCATAGCTTTGGGTTTATATGATTTTTGTTGTTTGTGGTGTGTTTCTTTGTGTATGTTGATGTTGGGTATATGCATCTTAGTTATGTAGAGATTAGGTATATATACATTATGTTTGTATTCTCTTGATGATTCATTTTGAGTCAATAAAATCTATCTTTTGTTCGAAAAAACAAAGTAATACATTGGAGAGAATATGATTTACTTGTCCGCGGAGATTTGTTCATGAAAAACACCATCATGAGTATAGTACAGGTAGGGGTAGCAGACAATGCAAAGGCAGCCACAGTGTTGTCAGCTGTTCAGTAGGTCCACGCAAGATTTGATCTAGGCGACCACGCACCAAACAAATAACCTTTCCAGCCCATGCTGCGTCAAGCCACTCTAAAACAGGCAGAGACCGTTCGCAATCGCCTAAATTATTCCGTAATCACAGAGGGCTCCAAAGCCACGCGAAAAAGCATAGAATATACTTTTGAATACTCCAAAGCGGAGCAGAGCGTGGGGGCAAGTAAAGCAGAAGTTCTCATATGCTCAAGAATATGCCAGGGAAGATGCCTCACTTAGGTCACCGAGCCACCGGAGCTTCCACTCGCTGGTCGATCGAAACCTCGTGCGTGCGCTTCTATATATGGAGCCTGACCCGGCATCTCCCATGGAGGACTCCTTCGCCTGGGAGGAGCTCCTCCCAGGTATATACCCCCCAACAATGGCTTGATGCTAGCCACTGCCGGCATGCAGCTCGTGCTGCGCTTTACCTCTCAGGTTCACCGGCGGCGACGGCGGTGCGCGGCGGAGGTATCTAGCTAGCTAGGCGGGTGTTAGGCCGTGTAGGGCAACTATACATCTTTGGCAATGTCTTCTTCTTCCTCCTCCATGGGAGGATTGTAATGGAGTGTGTAAACTGTGCGTGCATCCCCTGGGCTGGGCTCTCGTTCGTGGAAACTCACCGTCTTGCATTTCTACGACCAATACTGGTGCTCTGTTGCCTCGTTGAAAAGAAATACTATACTAGTGCTCTTGTTGTGGAGGCTGCTGTATTCCTGTTTGTGGCGAGCTGGTGTTTTTGTCATGTCAACTTTTTACCGTTGATCTTTCAGCACTGGAGAATTGTATCGTATGGTACTCCCGTGTGCTCCACTATTTGTCTCTGTCTTGGATACGGAGACTCGAGTGGTAGATCCGGTCTTCGTTCGGCTTATGTTTGTGCCTGCAGGTTTGAAGTGATCGACGCCCGCGCTGTGATCAGCCGGTTGTTTCTAAACGTTTTTCATGGTATTGCCGCTCGGCCTTCTTCCCCTTTGCACGGCGTGGCGCTCCCTCTCAGCCAGAGCACTCGCCGAGGGCTTGTTCTGTAGACACATCCTTCGCTACAAGCCGCCCAACTGTCGACCACGGTAGGCATCGATGCTCTGGGACGAAAGCCCTTCTTCAGGACAAGGCCGACCGCCGTCAGACCGCACACTACAAGGAGCACGTTCGCCGGCACCGAAGGCCCGGTACTCGACTCCTGCAGTGCTTGTCGACCGGTAGCACGTTCGCCGGCACCGCAAGGCCCGGTACTCGACTCCTGCAGTGCTTGTCCACCGGTAGCACGACCGCCGGCACCGCAAGGCCCGGTACTCGACTCCTGCAGTGCTTGTCCACCGGTAGCACGTTCGCCGGCACCGCAAGGCCCGGTACTCGACTCCTGCAGTGCTTGTCCACCGGTGCTTTCGGTAGCTCCGCCGACGTGGCAATCTCTGTCGCAAATGCATCAGCAACGGCTCCAGCGCAACGACCACCGTGCGTCGTTCTGCGATCTGGGTTCGGGTCACAACATCACCACTTCTGTGCAACCTCACAGCGGTGCCAGTGGCGAAAAAGTTGGCCATCGGAATGGCTGGGAGAGGTGTAATGACGGTTAAGGAGGCTTATTTTCTGAAATTTTCAAGTTTCAACCGACTATTATGCAAATCACCAGCAGAGCATCGGTATGCAATACGATAAAAACCCAACACCTTTAATTATAACGAACTAAGCATGAGCTCAAAGACAAGATTGAAACTACAGTGAGCCGGGCAGAATACTAGATTTAAACCTCTTCAACATCTATCTCGACGGAACAACATAATATTGCATATGGATTTTTCAGAATTAACGACAGGCACAGCTCATAGTTTTCAAACAAAGGCACCCAATCCGAAAGTGCATAACGGATTCCAGAATAACTCAACAAGCAGCGGCAGCTAGTCAGACAAAAAAAGACAACTTAGGTGTTCCTTGGGAAATATCCTACTAACACATCTCAGATACTTTCATCGAATTTTCCATTTTCCATTTTCAGTAGAAAAAGCCTAGCACCTTGCCACCAACATTCTTACGCCTTGCCTCCTCATGGTCCATGATCCCAGCAGAGGTTGTCAGCACGATGTAACCAAACTGCAAATCAGGTGGGACAATGTACATCGAGTTAATGATAAGAGATCCGACACGTGCTGAAAACTAAGAGTTCATGCATCAAGTTACATACACAATTCAATGAGCAGTAGTAAGTTGAGGCAACTGACCTGACGAGAAGGAAGGAGCCTTGCAGTCCATCCCTCAATCTCCTTGACACCAACATCAAAGCGAGGACTGATGACACCACACTTGTTCAGCCTGCCATTCAATTCAACCACGATCTTGCCAGACCTGTGATCATCAACATACTCAAACTCGCCAATGTATCCTACAACAAAGAGAACAGAGTCAGCTACAGATTCTCAGAGAGCAACAACAAAACAGAATGTGCAGTGTAGAACTAACCATGCTTCTGCATGACGATAAGGAACTTGATAATGACCTTGGAAGAAGGCCTGATCATGACCTGCCTCTTCCCACGCTTCTCAGCGTTGTACATGCTCTTGAGAGCATCGTTCAGCACACTGACTCTCACCATCCTTACCTGCAGAATAACAACAGCCTTTTAGAAACCAAATGGAAGGAAAAAAAAAGAGAACATGCCTTTGTATGCAAGTAGTAATGGAACAGTTTTTTACATTTGAACACTTTGGATATTTCACTCTAGCAAGGTCTACTTGGCACAAGAATGTCAAAATGTTACAGCTATCATCCAGTTGAAGGAACATAATCCTATATATGCAAGTGCTTTCAACTATTAGACTCTGGCTAAGATAGTTTATTCAACTAGTTAAATGACATGTCCTATGCAAGTCAAAGCAAGTTCTACAGTACACAAGCAAGTAGGATGATTGGTAACTAGCTACTCCAGCAAAGGTGAATCACGTTCCAAAATGAATCATGCACTAGCCTGTGATGCATTTAACAAATCAACTAGGTGGATACACAACTAAGCATATAAACACGTGAACTGCCAGACACAAAGTACGTGATTCCTTAACACGTACTCAGAGCATGGCGAAATGACAACCCAAGCAAGGTTCACGTTCAGCTCGCTAAAGATTTAACAAGCCAAAACATTTCATGGCGTTTGAAAACAGGTGCATCTCTTTGGTTAATCTTACCCATACTATGAAGCAAAAATAAAATTAATTTCATTTCTCACATTTCATCGGCGCCAATCACAGGCCGCACACAAAATTTAGCAGAGTGCCCTCTCGCAAACTAGACATTCCAACGCACCAAACTACGATAAATCTTCAACCTCATGAACAGGATACACAGGCAGGAAAACACCTACACGACACAAATAGCTAACAAGGGCTCTCTATAACTAGAGTTGCTCTGCCAGATCAAACCAAGGCACCCCATACGCACAAGATATTTAGCCACACTAGAAGAAACTAAAAGCTTGCAGTTCGCCGGGGAACAGGCCACCGATACACCGCGCCGCCGTGAAACTAGAGATCCGGAATAGGTACGCGCCGATCTAGGAAACAAACAGAAGGGAGAGGGATGGAGGGATCAGGGCAACGTGCTCCTGCGAGTGGTACCTCTAGGGAGCGAGTCGAGCTCTGGCCGTGGCGGCGGCGGCGGCGGCGGCGTCTGCGGAGCGAGAGCGGCAAGCAGGAAGGCGACGGCGCAAGGGGGAGTTCCGCGAGAGGGTTTGGCAGCTTAAAAGGGGTGGAAGGATGGGGCGCCTGCAGTTGGATCTGAATCTGACGGTGATCGTTTGCTTCGAGGTGGTTTGCCCTAGAATGACGCCAGTCCCTACAAACACGGCCTTTTTGTAGAACCCGGCTCGGATGGCCCATGCGAGACCTCTCTGTGATGGGCCGGACCTCCTTCCCATTCTTTAAAAACGTCTAGGAATCTGCTGCTGTGTTTTTTTATCCTAATTGCTGCTGTGTTTTTTTACCCCTCAAAAATAATGCTGCTGTGTTTTTTTTCAGTTCTGTCGTCGTGTATTTTTTTTCTAAAAGGACCAGATCTATTATAAAGATTCATTGGAAGTACAAAACACCTCAAACATAATAAAAATTATATCGAGGTCCATAGACCACCGAACGACCATTGCCGCCGCCAAAACGAACGGTCAACGCGCCGCTGTCGCCGCTCCCATACCGGAGCCGGCTTGACCTTGCCAGTGACGTCCGGGAAGTCATCGTGCACGTGCCCCTAACGACCAGCGCCTCAGAGCCGCAGTCGTTGTCGTTGAATCCTTGAATATATCTGAAGAACCTGACACCAAATATCGCCGTTGCGTACACACGACGAGAAACCCTAACCTCGCCGCCCCAAAGAGCTGGCAAGAATCTACGCAAGATATGTCTAATCCGTCCCAACGGACAAACTTGAGGAGGATCAGAGTCCGGAAGACTGACTCGAAGAACCATGCAAAAAAAAGACTAACTCAGAGAAGAAGCGCCGCCATCTATCCAAACGCCGCCCTTGCGAGGACTAAAACCCTAACTATCTACTAGACGGATTCGAGGCTGCTGGGGAAAGTAGTAATTTCAAAAAAAATCCTACGCACACACAAGATCATGGTGATGCATAGCAACGAAAGGGGAGAGTGAGTCCAATATCCTCATAGACCGAAAGCGGAAGCGTTAGCACAACGTGGTTGATATAGTCGTACGTCTTCACGGCCCGACCGATCAAGCACCGAAAGCACGACACTTCCGAGTTCTTGCACACGTTCAGCTCGATGACGTCCCTCAAACTCCGATCCAGCCGAGTGTAGAGAGAGTTCCGTTAGCACGACGGCGTGGTGACGATGATGATGTTCTATCGATGCAGGGCTTCGCCTAAGCACCGCTACAATATTATCGAGGTGGACTATGGTGGAGGGGGGCACCGCACACGGCTAAGAGATCCAAGGGATCAATTGTTGTGTCTATGGGGTGCCCCCCCCCTCCGTATATAAAGGAGGAGAGGAGGGGGCCGGCCAGGAGGAGGAGGCGCGCCCAAGGGGGGGAGTCCTACTCCCACCGGGAGTATGACTCCTCCTTTTCCTACTTGGAGAGAGAGAGGGAAGGAAGAGGAAGGAGGAAGGAAGGAAAGGGGGGCGGGCCCCTCCAATTCGGATTGGGCTTGGGGGGGCGCGCCCCCTCCCTTGCTCCTTTCCCCTCCTTTCCACTAAAGCCCATTAAGGCCCATATACCTCCTGGGGGGGGGTCCGATAACCTCCCGGTGCTCTGGTATTATCCCGATCTCACCCGGAACCATTTCGGTGTCCAAATATAGTCATCCAATATATCAATCTTTACATCTCAAACATTTCGAGACTCCTCGTCATGTCCGTGATCACATCCGGGACTCCAAACTATCTTCGATACATCAAATCACATAAACTCATAATATAATTGTCATCTAACTTTAAGCGTGCGGACCCTACGGGTTCGAGAACTATGTAGACATGACCGAGACATGTCTCCGGTCAATAACCAATAGCGGAACCTGGATGCTCATATTGGCTCCCACATATTCTACGAAGATCTTTATCGGTCAAACTGCATAACAACATACGTTGTTCCCTTTGTCATCGGTATGTTACTTGCCCGAGATTCGATCGTCGGTATCTCAATACCTAGTTCAATCTCGTTACCGGCAAGTCTCTTTACTCGTTCTGTAATACATCATCCCGCAACTAACTAATTAATTGCAATGCTTGCAAGGCTTATAGTGATGTGCATTACCGAGTGGGCCCAGAGATACCTCTCCGACAATCGAAGTGACAAATCCTAATCTTGAAATACGCCAACTCAACAAGTACCTTTGGAGACACCTGTAGAGCACCTTTATAATCACCCAGTTACGTTGTGACGTTTGGTAGCACAGAAAGTGTTCCTCCGGTAAACGGGAGTTGCATAATCTCATAGTCACAGGAACATGTATAAGTCATGAAGAAAGCAGTAGCAACATACTAAACGATCAAGTGCTAAGCTAACAGAATGGGTCAAGTCAATCACATCATTCTCCTAATGATGTGATCCCGTTAATCAAATGACAACTCTTTGTCCATGGCTAGGAAACATAACCATCTTTGATTAACAAGCTAGTAAAGTAGAGGCATACTAGTGACACTCAGTTTGTCTATGTATTCACACATGTATCATGTTTCCAGTTAATACAATTCTAGCATGAATAATAAACATTTATCATGAAATAAGGAAATAAATAATAACTTTATTATTGCCTCTAGGGCATATTTCCTTCAGTCTCCCACTTGCAATAGAGTCAATAATCCAGTTCACATCATCATGTGATTCAACACCAATATTCACATCTGTATGTGATTAACACCCATAGTTCACATCGTCATGTGACCAACACCCGAAGGGTTTACTAGAGTCAATAATCTAGTTCACATTGCTATGTGATTAACACCCAAAGAGTACTAAGGTATGATCATGTTTTGCTCGTGAGAGAAGTTTAGTCAACGGGTCTGTCACATTCAAAGCCGTATGTATTTTGCAAATATTCTATGTCTACAATGCTCTGCATGGAGCTACTCCAGCTAATTGCTCCCACTTTCAATATGTATCCAGATTGAGATTTAGATTCATCTAGATCGGTGTAAAAGCTTGCATCTATGTAACTCTTTATGATGAACTCTTTTATCAACTCCATAATCGAGAAACATCTCCTTAGTCCTCACTAAGGATATTCTTGACCGCTGTCCAGTGATCTACTCTTAGATCAAAATTGTATTCCTTTGCCAAACTCAGAGCAAGGTATACAATAGGTCTGGTACACAGCATAGCATACTTTATAGAACCTATGACTGAGGCATAGGGAATGACTTTTCATTCTCTTTCTATTTTCTGCCATGGTTGGGTTTTGAGTCTTACTCAACTTCACACCTTTGCATCACAGGCAAGAACTCTTTCTTTGACTGTTCTATTTTGAACTACTTCAAAATCTTGTCAAGGTATGTACTAATTGAAAATCTTATCAAGCGTCTTGATTTATCTCAATAGATCTTGATGCTCAATATGTAAGTAGCTTTACTGAGGTCTTTCTTTGAAAAACTCATTTCAAACACTCCTTTATGCTTTCCAGAAAACTCTACATCATTTCTGATCAACAATATGCCATTCACATATACTTATCAGAAAGGTTGTAGTGCTCCCACTCACTTTCTTGTAAATACAGGTCTTTCCAAAAGTCTGCATAAAACCATATGCTTTGATCAACTCATCAAAGCGTATATTCTAACTCCGAGATGCTTGCACCAGTTCATTGATGAATTGCTGGAGCTTGCACACTTTGTTAGCACCTTTAGTATTGACAAAACCTTCTGGTTGCATCATATACAACTCTTCTTTAATAAATCCATCCATTTACCAGATTTCATAAAATCTGGCAATTGCTAACATGATTCGGACAAACTTAAGCATCGATATGAGTGAG